AACCCTCAGCTCACTGGTTTAAGAAGAAGGGAATAAGCTGCTTTTAGCCCCAGAATGAAGCTCCTTGGCACGAAGAGGCTCACAACCGGCTGTCACGGTTAGCCGTTCCCAGAAGCTAGGGTTGCCAGAGCCAAGCTGAGGATGGGTAAGACCATCCAACCCCAACTGCCTTCTCCTTCTTGAAGATATCACCCGGTTGCCTTTGCTCCGAGGGTGCACAGAACGGGCAGCCAGGCTTGATGGACACGTAGCGTGTTCCTGAGAGCACCGAGCCGGCTGCTCTCCGAGCAAGGGCTGCCAGAACGCGTGGCCAGGCCGTTCCCCTGAGTCACACTTGCTGCCTGCCCAAGCATGCCCCCAGCGTGGCTCCTGTCCTTCTTTCCTTCCTCTTTCCCCTCGCAATGTTTTTTTTCTAACCCGTAGTAAAAAAAAAAACCACCACCCCATCCAGCTGCCAGAGCTCAGCTTTTCCTTCTGGCCAGGACAAGGATAGCTTTTTCTCCTACTGCTTTGCAGCAAGCTGGCAAAACCCCGGTGAAAGAGGTACTGACTTTGCAAGTCCATGCCTGTTGTGGCATAATAAGGTCATTGTCAAGAAGACGCGGCACCAGGAGGCTGATCTTGAGCAAAACATGGCCCCAGTCGTGAGTTGTGCAACCCCTGCGGCTCTTCAAACACTGGCCTCATTGTTTCCCGTTGTGAGTCTTCGGCGTCTCATTGTCCATTGAAAAGCCGGTTCCTACTGAGCCGGTGCAGGCGCCAATCAAATGTGCGTCGTTGCTGGCTATCAAAAAGACTTCGTTTTTGCTAAATCAGCTGCCTCCCCGACCGCAGGAAACTCATGTTCTTTTCTCACGTCACACCACTTGGATGAACAGGAGCTCTTGATTGAACAAAATTTTCCACCTCCCACCTTCTTTTCTTGCAGAAAATGAAGTTGCAGAGATCAGAGAGCTAGGGTTCTGGCCAGGTAGAAAGGCCCCATTAGGAAGACTTGTTTAGAGCAGGAACCTACATGCTGGTACATCTCAAACCACATCCTGCTTGCATGCTTGCGACTGACTTTCCATGGCTCCTCAGCTTACAGAGGGCAAACACCCAGGGGAAACTGCTGCCATCGGTGCGACGAAGGCCACAGAAGCATCACTTCAGTCTTGCTGACACGCTGGGGTGTCAATGGGATGCAAAGCCGCTTTTGGAAATGCTCCCTAAGAAAAGCACGCGTGGCAAAGAAGGAAAAGCTAGTGGATACTTGAAGAGGTGAAACCACTCAGATGGCCACAGAGGAGAGGAAGTAAAGACACCCAGGAGTCTTCCTCCTGCAAACACTGGGTGGCCAGGATTGAGGCTGGCATTCATAAAGAGGCTGCATTTAGAAGGTACAGCCAGTACCTGCATGAGCCACCCTGGTTCTACGGGAAATAGGGAGATACCGGTTTGACTTCACACAGCATCTGCCCAGGGGATGGATAAGACACCAGCGAGCAAGCGTGAGGCACAAAGTACAAAAGGAATAAAAAAAAGCAACAGGCCCCTTAAAAACATACTTAATAGTTTTCAAACTTTATTTCATGGTGATTGACGAAAGACACAAGTTAGTAATGGTTATATCATGCTGCTCCTCTACTGTGCATTGCCCTTCAGAATTCATACAGCAGTTCACAATGGTCATTAATTTACCCTATAAATGAAGCCACATGGACATCTTTTTTAAAAAAAAGGCAAAAAAAAAAAAAAAACCCAGAAAAAAACCAAACATCAATGTCTTTTTTTGTTGTACATACATGTTATAAATGCTATTAAAAAGAAAGCCGAAGTTAAGTGCACAGCCCCTAGGGAGCACTGCTGAATCCGACCTTGGTTCAAGATGCTTGACAACGAGGACGCAAGGTCCTGTTTTAAGGCATTTCCAAGCCCCAGCAAAAGCAGACAGAGTTTTTGTTTCGTTGGTTTTTTTTTTCTTCTTCTTTTTTTTTTTTTTTTTGCAGTGACCCTTGCTTCATTTCAGTGGCATTCTAGAAAATTAGCAGCTTCCTCTGTGCATGCCCCTCTCCCTCCGGACCTGGCACATCCAGCCCTCGGTCTCAGCCGACGCAGTTGCATTGCCCAGCTAGAATTCACCTTCTCAAAACACAGATCGAGGGTCTCAACGCTTCCCTCCCATCCCACCCCATCCTGCAGTCCTAGTTAGCCCCCGTCTATCTACACCTCGTGATCAAAAATACAGCAATCCATCCCTTTCACAACACAGGCACAGTACTCCCCACCAGGAACCACAATTTATATACAGTAGCCACTGAAAATGTGGTATTGCCACACACACAGCCATACACACACACGCACAGAGCGGAGTCTCCATTCCATGGTGGGCACAGCCCCCCGTGAAATATTTAACCACTGGATTTTTAGAGGAACGTCAATAGATTTGGCATAGATGGAGGTGAGGGGTAGATTTCTTTTAATTAAAAAAAAAAAACAAAACCAAACACAAGTGGTTTTACACTACGTTCTTCCCCTTTGTTACAGCAGCGTTGAGAGCTCACCCTGAGAAAAGTAATTTGACTTTTCATGGCTCAAAATTTAGTGGCAAGAAAAAACATTTTTAAAGGGTGCACTACTTTGCAAAGGTATACTACACGGTGTGCTAGATATTTAGGGTAAAACTGCAAAATGATAGCACCCTGGCTATTAATTAACAACTGATACCTGGCGGGATCCTTCAGATTAATTCCTGCACGCTCCATAAAACTGGTTTTACGCAGCCGCCATCTCAGGGTGGGAAAGGGACATAGATGCTACACAGCATCAGTAAATTCTTCCCATGGAGAAGGAACCTCAATGGAGTGGGTCATTTCTCTCATAGCTGCAATCTGTTGTTCTTCAAAAAAAAAAAAAAATATAAATAATTCAGTGTTCGCATGCAAATGCGTGCTGGTTGACAGGCGCTCGCAAACACACCTACATTCATTCAGAAACACGCATACTGGCTTTGTAACTGGCACCACAGTTTTTGCTTTCCAGATTTGCACGGAGGAAGAAAACACTTAAAATCCTTCTCCCAAACAGCACTGCCTCGACAGCTGACTCGCACCCCATTTCCATTGAAGCTATTGCTGCTGGGCTGGCAGAATCCAGAGGAGCTTTGATGGTGGCGTGGAAGACCCTGCCTTGCACCGGGCATTGCAAAAACTTGAAGTCAAAGGTAAAACTCCAATTAACTCTTCATGGGAGAGGCTCTAATACCAGCTCTACAGAGATTCACATGCCGGCCAGCTGTAAGCATCCTCATGGTAGACAGAGGGCAAGTCATGCCCAGAGGCTGGAAAATGGACATGGGTCATGGAAGGACACATCCAAGGGATCTTTTTGAAGTGGAAATGGACCCAGTCCCCATGCCCTCGCAGCCTGTTGGACAGCATTGGAAGAGGGAGAGCACTTCCAGCTCTTGAAGACGTGCTGCAAGTTCTCACTGGTGCACGGGGAGGGCAAGGCTTGGTACACGGAAGCTCTTGGGAAGAGCAGCCAGGGCAAGCAGGCGGTTAGGACATGTCTGGATAAACACAAAGCGTGGAAATGAGGTTTCACAGCTGCTTCTGCACATGTCCAAGAGGAGGAGGAGGAGAAGGAGAGCCACCAGAGAAATCAACATTTCCCCCACAGCACCTCTCAGTCCAGCAAACAGTCATAAGACAACCAAAGAGCAATGCTTTTCTGCCTGCTCAGAGTAGACCTTGGTCTCTCTTCCAGTGCATGGCATCCCTGATTTTAACAGAGCATAAAGGAGAAAAGCACTTGAGATTCTTACACACATAAATTATAGTGAGAGGAAGAGGAGGGGGGAGGAGGGAGATAGGGTGAACACAGGGCCAGGAGAAAGCTCGGCAGAGCCCGGTCCCAAAGCAGGGTGGGCAATTCCCACTTCTCTGGTGGCCACTTCCCTGCTCAGCCAGCGCTGCCGAGGGGACTTTGGCCTGAGATGGGAAGGCAGCGAATCCATGAAGGCCCCCACGTCTCACCAGCACCAGCATCCTTTCCCCCCACGGGCATGAACAACAACCCAAGAACACAAGTAAGGAGGGGGAAACATAACCCAAAAAGAAGCTTCAAGTATGAATAAGGTTTACAATGCAGGTGCAATGGGGAAGTTCTTCTGTCACTTCTTGGAGACTTGGTTCAAGGTTTGTTCTTTGTTGCTGCTGTTTGATTAGAGTCTGACCGACCTGGATAGACTGCAACCGAACAAAAAAAAAAAAAACCCAAAAGAAAAGGTGTTTCCTCCCCTCCCTTTCCCCCCTCCCCCCCCAAAATATAAAAAGCAATAAGTTTACAAAAATAGAAAATAATTACAGCAATAGGCAGGAGGGAGGGAAGGAGAAGGAAAGGTCTCTGGGGGGGGTCTATTTGGCTGAGCAGTGTAATATCGTGGGGTTGTTTAAAGCGTCCTCCACCAGATGCAGTTCTTGGCGGTCGACAATCACGTCCCTTATGCAGCCGACGAAGCCAGTGCTGTAGGCTTTGGGCAGCTTGTGAGCCACGCTCAGCTTCTCCAGTCCCCCTGCAAGAGAGCGCGCAGAAGGTCGGGTGGGAGGACAAAGGACAGCCCAGCAGCCTTGCACACTCACGCACACTCATGCACGCACATGCAGCCTTCTCAACAGCGGGGAAAAACCTCTTTCCTGGCTAGTATTTATTTGCACTTCAATCAGAGAAACGCCAGTTCCAACCAATACATACAGGTTTCTTGAAGACACTTAAAAGAGTGACTTGCATTCTAAAATACCAATTAAACATTAAATACTTCATTTCCTTGGAGTTTAGTCCCAAATTCAAACCGAATTTTATTTCGGTTACTGAAATGGCAAGTATGGCTCATTCCAGGCCCTGAGATGATGAAGGGCTGATGGCAAACAAAACTTTTGGAAGAGCCAGTGGGGAAGCCAAGCAAAAATTTCTCATGGAAAAATTCTGCTTTCCACGTAACTTCGAGGTTGATTTCAGAACGAGAAATGGCATCTGGGATACTCTCTTTTCAGAGGTAAGGCTACATTTTTGAACACGAACTCCTTGTAAGTCAGGTTAGACCTGAAACTACAGGCTTAGACTGGGAAGATAAGAAGAGACACTTCCGAAAAGTGTCAACAGAATCTAATTCACTGGTTCTTCATTACAGAGGATCAAAATCCCCAGATGAACATTTCTGGCCATTGATTTCTGTCGTCCTTGTGCCCCCTTGCAACCACGAGCGCTAGGACTGCTACAGTGAAGCCCAGTCCTAAACCTGGAGATGGAGAGCTGCACCACGCACCTTCCTCAAGGGACGGATGAAGCCCAGGACCATCCCCTAGGACCGGGCATCCTTCCTCCATCCCTTCAGGCTCCAGAAAGGCTTTCACTATCCTCTTAGCTCAGATTAGGACTGGTTGTAGTTAAAGGCAATTATCCTACACTTGTGGGTGGATTTCTTCCCTATTTGAGCTGTTTTAGGACAGATCCAGCCTCTTGTCTGTGCTGACAGATCTGCCACACGCAGGGCGAGATGGATGCAACTGGCCAAACTCTTGTTTGTAGGATCAAAATACTTGTGTCAAACCAAATGGAACTGACTCTGCTGTACACAGGGGCACGTTCAGGCAGGTCTGCTTACTCTGTTGTGCAAATAAAGCACAAATAAAATCCGGGTATTTACGTATTTCCAGAGAGAAGCACCCTTCTCTCAATTCAGCCGTTTCACCTGTGGGAACCAGAGTTACACCAGCAAGTAACATCTGGGAGGCTCATGAACTAAGAGGTTTCCACACGTGAGGGAATGTGGCAAGTGGGAGAGCTCCCAGTTTGAAGAGGGAGAAGGTGCTCCATGCCATCGGCAGCCCGGGATCCAGAGCCTCAGGCCAGCCAATGGCTCCCTTCAGGGGACACGGTGGCACGGAAAGGGCTGGCATTTGGTAAAGCCAACCCTTCGTCCCTCAGCCATCCCTAGCATCCCACCATAGTAGGCAGAGAACAAGCAGGGGACTTTTTTAGGTCAAACTTGTGAAAACCACCCGGGAGGCAAAGGTGTCGCGTTGAAACAAGTGAGGGAGCATCAATGTCCCAGCTCCAGCTCTGAGCCCCTCAGCAAAGGGGGCAGAGGACGTTCACCCTTCCCACACCGACTTACCCAGCCACAGGGCCCCATCATGTTGCACCAAGCGGAGACGAGCCAGCAATGGGGGCTTCGTTGCCGACTTGAAGGGAACCTTCTCTCTGTACCCTGCTCCCAGAGGGTGGGAAGAAGAAACAGAAGATGATGAGCAACCTTAGAGGAAAAACCCAGAGCCACCCTCTGCTTTACACTAAATCCAGACACTGGGCACCATCAGCCCTTCTCCACTCGGAGAGGAGCGGGGAGCAGAGCTCTCCCTCAGGTCGCTGCGCCCAGAGCGGTCCTCGGTGCGATGCCTCCCCGGGGATTGCCACAGGGCCGGTGGCGAGTGCTCCCCTCCAGCATCCCGGCATCCCCCGGGCATCCCGCAGCCCCATCACCGTCCCTGCCAGCAGCCACAGCTTCCTCCCGCACCCTCCAGACCCATCAGCAGAAATCCCTGGCATGCCAGTCGCATGATCCACTCACCACTCCCCCCATCAATAAAAATAAAAGGGATGGCTCGGGCTCAACACGAACAGAATGTCAAACCCTCCGCCAGCTAAAATAAAAAGGCATGAACCTTTCGTACCTCCTTGCGCCTGCCCCTTTGACATTTCCAGGCGTGTCACAACACGCACCCCTCCAACGCGGCACTGCCCACATGCCTCTCCTCTATTATTATCCAAGAAGATGAATGACCCTTGGGGATCACAGGGCACGGAGCCACGGCCGTGACTCAGGCTCCCTAGTTCACAGCTTGCCCATCCCAGAGCAATCTGTCACAGTCCTGCTCTCCCCTCCCGCTAGCCTTCGCACCTGTACGCTTTGATGTGAATCCACCGGTTGGTGTTGACTGGGACCGTGGATCGTAGGACAACTGGCTTGGAGCCGAGATCGTAGGTCATTTGTACGAAGCCATCCACTATGGCGAGGGCGATGTAGTCCGATCGCTCCAGCCCCTTCCCACTCCACAGGATCAGTCCCTGAGTGGCTTCTGTTTTGATGCTTAGTTCAAAGTGGTTCGATTGCAAGGCTTTCTCGCTGCACGGGGAGAGGGGAGCAGGGGAGAAGACAGAGCAGAGTTAAAACGTGGCTACAAAAGGCAGCCAGTCAGCTCCTCGGAGCAGCTTTCTCTGTTCCCAGCCAACTAGCTCACCTGCTGAGGATAACCTTCAACTGACCTTGGCATCACGGGGTCTCGGTCCCTACCTGCTGCGCCTGAGGGGTCGCAGCCTTTGCAAAATCCCAGGTCTGCTCAGAAGACCTGGTGCATGGTGGGGTACATCTAACCATGGTGGTACATCTAACCCAGGTCTCACTCAGAGCAGGACCACTGCCAGCACTGGATGAGGGCAGCTGTGGCTGGAGCACCAAGACCAGACCTCCTCCATCGTCCTGCTGACCTGAGAGGGGCTGCACAGTTCTCCTCTGGGATGAAGTGTTTTCCTCAACATCCAGCTTAAACCTCCAAAGACAGGAGTCTGGGACTACTGCCCCGGGCTTTTGCCCTCCATGGAGCATAAAGTTCAGACACATCAGTCCCCACGAGCTGTGACCCACAAGTCTTGGGTTTGCTTCCCCACAGGCAGGCGCTGAAGGGAAGAGCTCTGTTACGTGGGCTGGTGAACACAGCACCGGGCTGGCCCCGATCTGGCCAGCAGAAGGGTTTTCCCCACAGAGCTGCCTTTCATTTGAGAGAGGTCGGAACAAAGAGGGCTCTTGTTGGCCAGATCGGGAGGGTTGCGGGCAGCAGCTGAGCTGGGGTCGACACCATTTCACCATCCTGCTGGCAGAGTTGGGGTGCCTGGGGACCACCTCTCCCCATGCCATCACCACGCAGCCATCAGCCTCGGAGGCATTTGCTCTACCGCTGCCTCTGCTTGACCAAAGCCCAACAGGAACCCGAGGCTGAGGACCATGTGATGATGAGCACTCTGCAGTTGGAAGGGGTTGGAGACCACCCACAGAGGCAGCAAAGCCTTCTTTCTCCTAGACACCATGTCTTTTCCCAAGGGAGGAATGAAGGAAGGCTTCCCGCACATTGGCATCCCCATCTTTGCTCAGTCCCTTCTGGAACCGGCAAAAGACTCTTGGCAACAGGTGAGGTTGCCATATGGAGTCACCGTCCACTCTCCTGGGATGCTCCGAGACACACTGCTGACACATGTGCACACATAGACCAGACAACATGGGCAACACAGACAGCTTTTTATTCCCAAGGGACACTGCATCCAAAGAGCTGGACAAGGGCTCTGCATGAAGCCCGCTGAACTGTCAAGGTAACTCAGGCTCTCCCCTCCCTGGTTGCTATTTGCTGCCTAGGTCCCCAGGAGCAAGGGCCAGAGCTGGAGCTACACAGGAGCTGCTGGTCCTATGCTGGAGGGACAGGGCTTCCTTCGTGTTTCCTCTCATCATCTGCAGAGCTGTATCCCTTATAAATAAAAAGCCAGGGGTATGGAGACACAGAACACGCACAAAGACGGAGACATGCTGAGGCAGCAACAGCAGAGCACGAGACACGAGAGCTGAAAGCCTGGCACAGAACTCACCTGGGCTCCGCAGGATAGTCCAGCGCTTCGGGACTTAGATGCGGGAAGAAAGGGGAGCATGCCATAAGCGCCTGGCAGCAGAGGGGACCCTTCCCTCCCCCCCTGCTCACAGACAGGGAACAGCCCTGCTCAACAGCAACAGCTCTTCACCCTACACAATGCCCAAGCCGAGAAAACCACCCAGTATGAGCAAGAAGCCTCAGCCACTGCCCTTGGGGCTGAGTTTCCTCAAGCCAGCAAGACACGTTTGCAAGTTGTTGCTTAGCCAGGGTGAGTAGAATAATGCCAACGAGTGAATACAGCCCTGTCCCAGCAGTGCAGGGACTCTGCGATGCTCTCCTGGGTCAGGACCATCAGTGTTCCTGCTCATCCCTCGTGCTACCTGCTGGGATGGGTATCCCAGGACAGAAGAGAGGGCTGCACTGCTAGGGAAGGGAGTTTTTGGTCCATGGTCCTGCATGAGGACCCTTTCCTGGGCAGAGCTGCAGGCAGGTCTCAGGCTGGTTCTTTGGGATGCTGCAGGATGTTTTCCCATCTAGGCAGACAGCTGAATTCTCACGTAAGGTCTCTGAGTCAGTCTCAGGGCACTTGGGCAGCAGGGCATGCATGGAGACGGGGAAACCCGGGACTACAGCTGTCCTGCTGGCACTGCCTGCAAGCGTTAGGGGCTACAGGCCCCGCATTACAATCAGATCTAGCTAGATGCATATATAAAAATGTACGTTCAAAAAAAAAAAAAGGACGGGCATGTCCTGGCCCGCAGAGCCGAGAGAAGCACTTGGAGTGTTAGTCCAGCCCAAGGCACACCCGGGTGTCTGCCTGGAGGCAGAAGAAACTACTTTTTATGGGCAGCCCAATGGGTCCTTCAGCCCTGGCGAGGCTAGGGAGTGCTTCGGCCAAATCCCAGCAGATGGATCTGGGAAGAAGTGCTAAGCTCCCTTGCAGGATGGGGCACGCACAGCCAAAATAGGCTGGGAATGGTGACCTTCCCTTTGCAGAGCATTGGGAGAGGCCGGGACACAAAAGGTAGCAGCTTTCTGCTCACCTGCAGGGATGGGGTTCATCTCTGTGCAGAGGGACAGCCGGGCACTGCCACGTGGCAGAGCCATCGTGCAAGCCCACTACGTGCTTCTCGATGCTGTAGGGCACTGGCTAGCGTAGGAGGATTCTTGGCTCCTAAAAAAGCCCCTTCCAAAACACCAGAACACCTCCCAAACTCTTGTGAACATGCATGTGGAGGGGGTCTGTGGCTTCCCGGGCGCACATATGCACGCATGCATGACACT